TTAATTAATCTAAAAACTTTGTTTTTTTTGGATGTGTGGATACTGCTTCAATATTCTTAAAACATTAACTAACAATAAATGACATTATTGAATCAGTAACTGTTTAATCTAAATTAATTTAGGCCAATATTACAGCCTATTCATTAAGTACTGTTAACCATTATATAACATATGGTCTTGGTATCATATCCATTCCTTATGGCTAATCAAGGTTTAATAATTTCACATAACTTTAAAGACATGGCTAATAATATTAAGATAAAATTCCATTAATTTATTACTGAATTGGTTCTGCAAATTCTTTAAAACTTTTTAACTTCTTAGAATTTGAATACACACTCTAAGCTAAATCTTTTATTTAAGTAGCAATCAACTTTATATTATGCAAAAGTATCAAATAATCTTAGGATTCTTTGCAATTAGATTATAAATAATTAAGACTATCTTACATTAATTATAAAAAAAGAATTCCATCTATATTTTTATTCTTAGATATTCTATTAAAATAATATAAATCCTTACTTAAATATTTCATTAAATATTTGCAACATGAATTCAGAAAAATTAACTCCAAAAAAATCTTTTTGAGGGACAACAAAACTAACTTTTATCTATTTTAATGTGTAATTTGAAAATTATAAAGATAAAGATTTAACTTCTATATCATTAATAGAATTATCTATCTTTAGACAATCTCCAAATAAATTTGTAATTATCTAAGCCATATTCTTTATTGATTCGATATCTTAATTTATTCTTTAACATAATATGGAGCTATATTATTAATTAAACCATGATTTTTAAGCTGATTCCAAAAACTATAGCATCTTAATTTCTATTTCCTCTTTCAATTTTTACATGTTTGGATTTAAATTAAGATCTCTACATAAATTTTAAAACTATTTAACTTATTTACTAAATTTTCCATTTACAAAATTTTCTAATGCTTTACAATTCTATAATTATAACTCTTTTTAAGGTAAAGAACATTGTTAAAGGAATTCAATAATAAAATCACCTCTAATCATTTCAACTTAGTAAGCTTCATTATCTCTCTGTTACAAAGTCTTATTAAAATAAGCATTAAAATTTGCTTTTATAGATTACTATAGATTATTAACAATGTCTTAAGTACTATTCTATGTTAGATTTAATTCATTTATATATTCAGCTATTTCTAAAATCTAATTGTACTCCAAATTGTCTTGTTTTATCTATTGAAGCATATCATTATATATTTATTTCATTACTTGATCTATTTATTCATTCAATTATTTAAACAATGATATATTCTTATATTAATTAATGTTTTCCTTTTAAAGAGATATGAGTTTCATCACTTGAGCATTATTTCTTTAAAGATAAGCTTCTTTCAATTAATTTGGCAATTATACATACTATTCACATTTTCTAATGAAATCAATTACTGATTTCAAATTTTGTTAACTAATTCTTAATTTATTCATAGATTATGAAATAGAATTTAATTTAGACAATAATGAAAATGTTCTTTTAGATAAAGATCCTAAAATTAGAATTTAATCAACTTGCATAGGTTAACTTGACTTATCATTAGATGCTAATGATTTTTTTCTTTTTATTGAATCTTTATATTCTTTGGAAATGAATTCATTATGTATTTATAAAATACCTTAATTGATACAGAAGAAATCATCAATAAAATAGTAAACGATATTTTTATTCATTTCTATATTTTATTATTATAGCATAGTCATTGATTACTTTGAAATTTAAGGCTATACTATTTTTAAGAATGTTTAAGCATCGAATTATGGAGAATCAAGATGAATTTTAACAATAACTTTATCTAAATTTTTAATTTATTGTTTTATTTATTCAACTGATTCTACATCTATAACTGCATTTAAACTTTCAGCTATTTACTTCTTTTTTAATGCAGCATTTCTATTTTTATTAGATTTAGTTGTTCTTTATTGAGGAATAAAAGGATTATAGAAAGTCTTAATTAAATATTCTGGATTTCCATCCCATTATAAATTAATATGTTCTAATTTCTTTTATCTCTTATTTTACTCTCTTTATAAGTTTAGATTTTCAGGAGGAGGTTAATCAGATTCTTTCCATGATGTTTGTTGTATTTGCTCTTGAATTTATTGAACTCTAACACTTTTGTACCAATTCTCAAATTATTCTTTGAGTTTTTTAATCTCAAGAATATATTCAAGATTAAAATGAGGTCTTTCATCTTTTAAATACTTAATTATCTTAAAAGCAATAAGTCCTTTATCTTATAATTTCTTATCTACCAAAACATGTGTAGATAATGAAAGTAATTTGTATTCATCATCTTCAAGATCTGCAAATACTTTAATGAATTCAATTCTTTATGGATGCTTCTCTAAAATATTCAGAAATAATTCAGCACTATAATATGCAGATTTTCTTAGACTACCATCAACTTTAGATTTATTTCCTATACAATATAATAATCCAAATGGTAATTATTCATTACCTATTAAATATAATCTAATTTCTTTAGGATTTAATTGCATTTTGAATATGTCAAGTTATTTAAGATATTTAGATGTCTTTACTTTGATTTTTTGTTAAGATTCTTTGATTTTTGTTAAGACAGCTATAATTTATTGCTAATTATTCATTAAATATATATAATGTCATTTATTAATCTTTGGAAGATTATTTTAGCTTTAACTCATTTATGAACCTGTTTAATAAAATTATTGATTGGCTTGACTATTGGGTCTATCTTTATCATTTTAATATCTTTCTTTATCTATTTTATCTCTATTGTTTTTTGATTTTTCTTGCATTTATTTGTATCCAACACCAAACTAAAATATAATTTTGAATATATATACTCTTCCCATTCTTTCAGGAGATGTCTCTTTAGGTGGGAAATGTGCCCATCCTCGATAATCTCCTAATTATCCTTTAAATTTATCTAATTCTTTATCACATGAAGCACAAGACCAAAGTTGTTTCTTAGCAAATAAACCTTCTTAATCTTTAGATCCTCCTTCTCCTTCCAGCATCATAAATATTTAATTAATCTATTTAATTAATATAATAAATATACTCTTTATTCTAGATAAATCAAAGCTTTTTTAGTTTCAGATTTATTAGCTAATTATTTAATGAGGGCTTAAACAACTTCTTCTAATCTAGAGACAAGATCATTTTGTAGTTTTTCTAAATCTTCGAGTTCAGCCTTCTTTTCTAATTTAATTCTTAATTCTTCAATTTATTTAGATAATTCATCTCTAACTTATTTTAATTTAGGTTCAAATAAGGCTAAGAGATCTTCTCTTGTAACCACACCATCAATCTTTTTTCCAAATTAAGCTATCTTAGCCTTATTTGTATCTTAATCTTTTTTCATTTAATCTTATATTTCTCTTAATTCTTATAAACCAGAAATAATTGAATCAGTTTTAGTTTATTTTATCTTATTTTCTAATTCAGCAATCTTTTATTAAACTTATTATGCATTTTATGAAAATTAAGATTTGTGATTGATTAATTCTCTAATAATAAAATTAATAAAATAATTACTATTCATTTTAAGCTACTTAATCTTGTAATTCTTTAAAAGTATTTAAAAAATCTGGACTTAATTAAGGTCCTTTACTTGGACTATTATCTAATTGTGGTTAAGATCCACGTTTATTTTTATTTAAAAGATCTTTGATTTAAGTGATTTCATTTTTTATTTTTTCTTATTCACTTAAATCACCTTTTTTACCAAGATTTATTTTAAATTCTCTTCTAACTTTTTCAATTTCTTCATCAATATGATCATATGTTTATTTTTATTATAATGCAACTTTTTAACCAAGATTTGTTAAATCTTATTAAGTAGCATAATTTTCTAATAATGCTCTTATTTTATTAATTTCTGCCAAAATAATAACCATTTAATTTTCTCCCATATTATTTCCTTCTTCACCTGAATTACCAAATGAAGCTAAATTGAGTTATGTTTGTAATTATTCTAATAAAGTAAATAGCTTTTTAATATCATTTTTAATGATTAATAAATCTTCTGAATCAACATTAGATCCTCCTCCTGAAACTACTTCCCTATTTTTCTTTTTTAATTCATCAAGTAATTCAAATAATTTTTAAATCTCTTCTTCATGATTATCTAATTTTTTGTTGATATCAGTTAAATCAACTTCAGAATTTGGTTAATCAACATAATCTTAATCTTTCACTTAAATTGGTTATAATAAAGTTTTTGGTTGATTATTCAATTGTTTTAGTAATTCTTTATATTAAGATTCTAAAATATATAAATAATATTTACCTAATTATGCTAAGCGATTCTAAACATCCTTTAAAGAATCATCAGATAAAGGCTTAGATTAGATTTGATAAACATTAGTATCTGGCTTTTATGTTTATAAATCAGATATTATTTTATTTTAATCGTTGATAAGTTTACGAAGTTAATCTAATTCTTCATTAATTTTATCAATCTATATCTATTTCTAAATAATATCTTCAGCATTTTTATTTATTTATTATTACTCTTATTCCTGAGCCTTAGCAATCTCCTTTATTTAGATATCTTAATCTCTCAAAATATTATCTAAGAAATAATTGATGATAATTTCATACCATATCGTTATTTTAATGCTTATAACTCTGCTTTAGTAGCAAAATTCTAATGAATTTCTTTTACTTAAGAATCAATCACATCAACTTTATCTTTTGTATCAGTCTATTATGATTCTTCCCTTAATTTCTATCATTTAATTGTATATTTACCTACACCCAATCACTATTGTCCTTCACCTATCCATTTATAAGTATCATTCCCTTATGTAACTGTTTGAGAATAGAAATAATGACAGAAAAATTCTTCTACAAGATTTCTTCCGAAAATGTAACTTGCATCATCTTATCTAAGTTCATATTAGCTAAATCCTAATCAAAAGAAGTGAAGTTGGGATCAAATATCACATTTATAATTTATTCATCCATTTTAAATAAATTAATGAATAGATTCTTTTTCACAGGACAAGCTACTCCTATAGAAAACAGTGAATTCGATGACGAGTACACTCTTAAAGTACCATCAGAAGAAGAAGTTCGAATTGTAGCTGTTAGATTAAGAAATTGTATATTCTTCTTCTTATTATATTACTCTAGGCTAATATTTTTTAACAGGTATAGATGTTTGCAGAGAAAAAATCTTCAAAAAACATCTTGAAGATGAAAAAGGCACTCCCAATGGATTCTTACCATGCAAACCACTTGTAGATAGCTATTATTATTGCATTTCATAAGTATATATATATATTTCATTTAATTATTAGGGATAATATGGATAATCAGTTTAAGATGCCCCAACTGAATCATAAGATAATCTATAAAAATTTTAAAGCTGCTTATTTAATAAATTGAATCCAGCCAATTATTGTAAAGGGTTTAACATTTAATAAATATTCTTTAGATTTGCAAGTAAAGCAGTAAGAGATTTGTATCATCTTCCAGGTACCAAAATTAAAGATACAACAATATGATTACGCATAATCAATAATTGCATAATAATAAAATAAAATTGTCTAATTTCAATTACTATCTCCATCATTATTTTGATCATCATCATATTATTATTATTTTCTCTTGTGTGTATTTCTTCTATCTTTTCTCTAATCTCTATGATTATAATCATGACTATTTTATCTATTTCTTGATCCTCTCTTTTTTTATATATTTTATTAATCAATCAATTTCATTAAAATTTCATTATTCATTTCATTATCATCAAGTTCATCATTTTATTATTATTATTATTATTAGATATTTGGAGGATACATTTATGGATACATACCATAAGGATTCTGAAATTACATCATACCTTATTACTACATTAATTACTATTAAGGCATAAATCCTTGCTATTACAATTATTATGGTATCATTTATTATCTTGAATGATCAAATTCATCTACTCTCTATTTCAATTGCTTAATTTCATTCAAAATCTGTTATTTTTATAAATCATCTCTTTCATTCAATAATTATGTTAAACTATCATCCTTATCTGCATCAATAACTGGTTTCTTTTTTGAAACTAAAGCAGACAGTTATTAAATATATTAATTTTATTCTTCCATTTGCTTCTACATATTTAACAATTTTTAGTTTCCTTGAATTGCATAAGACTATGGTCTTGTTTAATTTTAATTACTTTGAATAGAAGTTCTCCTTTGTATGTATTAAGGTTATATTTCTGGATTATCTACTGCTTATATTAAATTATTTTAGTTTTAATTTTAAACTGATTAAAGATCAGTCTATAATTATTCAATAGGAAGTGTGTTTTAGACATTAAAAGTAGGTTAATAATTTTTGTAATTTATTTGATTATGTTCATTTCTCTATTTATCCTTCTAAACTAAATCTCTTTAGAGTTGCATTGATTGTTATTCTAATGAATAAATATGATCTTCCTTTCCTTTCATTCTCGTATTATAATCACTAACCTTTTTAAGCATTTTTTAATACTGTTTGCTCTTAAAATTACATTAACTATATTAGTTAATCAAACTTCTGTTTATTTGAATTGGCTTAGATCATTGGTTGATAACCATTACTATAACCACTAGGTGGTGCTTTGGAAAACATATTTTATCCTAACATCTAAAATGCATTTTAGTATTGATCCATTTTAATTAATAAAATGAATATTATAAATTTATTGTAAACTAAATATCATAATTTATTAAATTTTAATATAATCAAAGGAATTTCATTTATCATATCATTCTTTCTTAATACTTTGAAGTGACTTTTATTTTATTTTATAATTTTGTTAATGCAAATAGTAAAATAAATATTTAAAGATATTTCAAATATTATTGTAAATAGATAATATTAATTATTGAATTATGATTATATAATTATTTTAGATTGATATAGAATAATATTTTAAGATGGTGAAATAATATATTAAAGAAAATGGAAGTATAAGTTTTCATAAAAAAATGATATAAACAAAAATTAAAAGATAGTATTTTTTCTTATGTTATTAAATATTAATACATAATATAGAAATACTAAAAATGAATAAAGTACTTATAGAAATATTAAATCATTATATTATTTACTATATCAACTCAATTTAATAGTGCTATTAAGATTGCCTCATTGATCCACCATTGTTTAATTTCGATGTTCCACTACTTGTTATTACTGATGTACCATATACTATGTCTATTATCTAACCTATTCCATGATTGCATTTTGAATAGCATCATGCCATTAATCTAAAAGAAGATTTGAAGTCGCATTAAAGACAAATTCAGAATCACAATTTTCATAACGGATCTATTTAGGATTAGAATTTTACTTTAAGAGTATGTTATTTAGTTGTATCAAAAAGTGGATTCTTGATTACTACAGCATCTACAAAGGATATGAATAATATTGGTTCTGCATCACCAGGTTTCTTAAATAAAACTAATCCAACATTTGTTAATATTACAAAGACTTCTTACCAATCACCTTAAAACATCTTCTTTTTAAATATCTATAACCATCCCATATTCTATGAATATAATCCTTATTTAGAACTCACTTTATATGTTGGATTCTTTCCTTGATCTTGACTTGTCTATTTTTTAATAATTTAAGATATGGGTATTTCATCTTTGACTCCTTTCATTTTAATTTTAAATTAAACTAAAAATTCTACTTTAAATAATGAAATCTTTTGGGATGCAAATATATCAGTTAAAAATGAATTTAATTCACTTCTTTTAAATGTTTCAATTAAATAATCATCTGAACCTGCTACTTTGATACAACAAATGACAGGTGAAGCCTTAGATATATTTTGAAATCCTCACCTCTGAAAAAACCAAAGTATGTATGTTTTTTAATGGAAATGATCTTGACAATTTAGATGGTTTCTTTTCTCCTTCAAATATATAGAATGTGTGTTCAGTCAAAAATAAGATTCTCCTAGCCTTTTTACCTTTAGCATCAATTCTATAAACTCCATCAGAAAAACATCTCTATATTATTGATTTGTATATATTCTTCTCTAATTTCAAGTATTCCATTATCTTTGGATCATCTCTAATACCCAAAAAATCTCTATAATATAAAATATTTTCGTCAATTTTTATCTATTGTGTATCAGGTGCTAATTCTTCTAAATTTTTTGTTCCTAATTCCCCCCAAAATTTATCAAATTATTATAAAAGTTTATGTTCTTTAGGTTTCTCATTGTTTGTTACAAATTATTCCTTATCTTCATTCTCTTCATTTATTACTTCAACAATACTATTTTCATATTTTATATTGATTCTTGCCACAATCCTATTATTTATCATCGATGGTTTGTTACTATTAACATTTTATTAATCTGGATTCTAATTGTCAATATCTTAAACTTCTTCAATTTTTAAAGGTCCACTTTAAATTTCATCTAAAGGATTAAATGTACTTCCATATTAATTTCCTCTAATTGAAGACATTCTTTAAGATGAATTTCGTCCAATTATATAAATTTTAGAAGATGTAATACCACCTCCAATTGATATTTTACTCAATCTCCCAAGTCCTCCACCATTCATTTATTAAGAATTAAACATACTTGTTCTTGGTATAAGACTACTTCTCAATTATTAATTTTCAATATTTGTATTTTCAAACATCTTTTTATAATGAGTTACTTCTCTTTTTAATTCTATAATTTATTATTCAAGTCCTTCTTTTGCTTTTTCATATATTTAATTCAATTCTTCTAATTATTGATTCTATATTTATAAACTATATATTAATAATAAAATTACTCTTCTAATTTGATTTATAATTAATTTATTTAATCTTTATGTTGTTATAATGATTATTTTATAGTATCTATATCTTTATTTTATTGAGATTTAATCTCTAATTCTTCTATAATTTCCATTAATGATTTATTGTTTTTTTGTAATCTAATATTTTCCTTATTTATCTTATTTAATTATTCTCTTAGATTTTTGGTATCTATTTACATTTCTTTTAATTCTGTTTCTAATCTAGTAATACCTTTCAATTCTTCATTATAAAAATTTAATTATATTTTTAAATCTTTATTCTGATCTTAAATTTACTATAATAATATAAATATATATTTACATTAATTTAAGTTTAAAATATATCATTATCTTATAAACATAATTGAATTTATTAATCTTTATTTTAAATTTCTATTTCAAATTATTATAATTATCCTTAAGTTAATTCTTTTTCAATAATCAATTCTTCTATTTTCTTATTTTTTATATCAATATCATTAATTAAATTAGCAATCAATCCTTCAATACATTAAGTTGCCTTATTTATTTCAGTTAGATAAGATAGACCTCCTTTATTTATAAATTTCTATTTAATTATATCAGTCTATTGATAAATAATATTTGTAAAATTTCTTCTATCATTAGATGCACTTGAAATCAAATTAATTTATTTTTAGTTATCTTCCTCACTTGAATAATGATAATCTTCTCCTTATTATTCTACAGTATTTTGTTTTCTATTTTCAAAACCTTTAGATTATCTTCTAGTTTAATCATTTATCAATCTTTCAAGATCATTAGAAAGTTCAAGAATTTCATCAATTTTAACTTTCTATTAATTATCCACAAATGGTTGAATGTATCTCATAATTTCAATAGAATTTATTTTTATAGTTCTCTATAATTCCTTACCTAACCTTTCTAATTCACGATAATCAACTATAGGGCCATATTTATTGGCAATCAATTTATAGAAATTTTTGAATTGCATAAGAAAATCATTATTAATGTTCTATAACATATCCAAAGGTAATCGTCTAGCGCATTTGCCTAGTGTATCAACATTAATTTAAGATTAAGGTTGAATTACTTCTTATTATAATAAGAATTCAAGAATGACTGTTTCAACTAAGTAATATGGAGTGAATGTTACGTGCACAATAAGTCACATTTTATTATTTCTCTTTGATAAACTTATACAACTATTCTTTAACATTGTCATCTAAATCACATCTTATATCTAATCTAGCATATTAATCTAATATGTTTGAAAACTCAAGAAGTGTTAGATATTTATTTTGATAAGTTTATCTGAATTGATCAATCAAGTCTGAAAACATAATAATGATTAATTACTCTATTTAAGTTGTTTTAAAAATATATATAAATTCTCTGATTTAAATCAGTTTACAAACTTGGCACTAGGAGGTTTGTTTTATTATGATGCACCTTGAGCACCTTATTCTGCAGGCTTTAGTATTTGGAACGAACACATAAGGGATTCATCAATAGTCATCATAGAACCTGCATATGAGACTTCATACAAATACCTGCATTATCAAACTCACCACAATAATTTGGAGCTGAAAATAGAGTTACCAATTATCTTTTACTAAAAAACTCATATCCATCTTCAACTACCTATAATAATAATTGTTCTTACTTAATGGGCTCTACAAATAAGATCTAATTCATGCTTTTTCAAAAAAACTTATACAATTTCTTAACTAAAAACATATGAAACACCCCTTTCATTATCAGCCCATCCTTAGACATCTTTATCTGGATCAGACCAAAGTAAATCACATAAGAGTCCTGTATCTGGTACATCAGTAGGTCTCATTATTCTTCTTATCTATTCTAAATTAGATAGTTCAGGTGATAATCCTCCATGCATACATAGTATCTTTTCATCTATCAATGCTGCCACAGGTAGACAATTAAAGCAATCTGTGAATGTTTTCCATAATTTAATTGTATATCGACGTTTACCTAAATATATAATGATATTGCTTACATTCATCATAAAAACCATATATTCTATTGATAGATGCACATTCATGATTACCTCTTAAAAGGAAAAAGTTCTCTGGATATTTAATTTTGTATGCCAATAATAAACAAATTGTTTCTAATGATTGTTTACCTCTATCTACATAATCACCTAAAAAAAGATAATTGCTCTCAGGAGGATAACCACCATACTCAAATAATCTCAGAAGATCAAAATATTGACCATGTACATCGCCTATAAAATCATTAAAACTAACACATCACCACAAATCTTTAAAGGTGCTTCTAATTCCAATAATATCGGTTAGCTTATGAAAATGTCTCTTGCTTTTATACAAAGACCTCTAACTTCAGGTTCTGTTAAATTTACATTTTTTCCTGGTTTGCTCCCTCTGACACTTAATAATCTCTCAATTATATTATCTACATCTATCTCCCCCTATTTATCCTTTGCCATTTTGAAATTTTCTTTTATAATAAAAATAATATAAGAGCCAATTAAAAATTATGATAGCTACTTCCACTTCAGACATATCACTAAACATAAACTATGAAAGTCTTCTTATGAAAACAAGAATACTCAAATCTCAAGTAAATCCTAAGGAAATCAATTAGTTAATTGTAAAATGAAAATCAATATTATAGAGAAACCATACCTATCATAATTATTTTTAAAGATATATAAAAAACATAAGAAAATAACCATATAAATTGATATTTTAAAGTTTATAATTATCAATAAAATGAAAATGATGAAAAGATTACTTTAGAAGTAAGAGAATTATAATTTAATAAAAAGTTCAAACTTAAAACTTCTTAACTTTTAAATATTAATAAGGACTATTTCAAACTCTAACCCTTTTTAAAAATGGAATAAATACAATATAGGCATTTTTTAATTAAACTATTATTAATTTATAATAAATTAATTTTAAGAAACCATTAAAAATTTAAATGTTAGAGTTTTTTGATTAAATATGACATTTACTATATAAATAATAAGATATTTGAAAATTACAAAGAAATTTATAATTATTTTTTATTGATAAAATTTAAATTAAAAAAGAAAGGAATTGATAGTTTACTTAAATCTTTAAATTAGATAAATTATAAATTATATTGATATTTTTATCATAAAAATTAACTCTTGCATAAGGGGCAATCACTTTTGTTGCTACTATGAAACCATTTCTAAATACAAGTTGAATGAAATTTATGTTTGCATGTTCTACAAGCCATTTTTGGTAATTCTCCATTCTAATGGATTATATAATAACAAATAGCACATTCTTCAAGATCTAAAATTCATATTGAATTATATTTATACCTTAAAATTGTTAATCAATATTTTTCTTCCATAATTTTAATGCTGTTAATATAGTATCATTTTCATTTTATAAGATCATTCTTATCATAAGACTCCATTTTTTTAATTTATCTTCACTAATTTTCACCCCTTTCTTAGTTTCTACTTTTAATGGTTTTAAAGGAAATCCTACAGGAACTTATATAAGGATTTCTATTTTTTATTCTTCCTTTTAATAAGTAGCTGTTATTTCTTATTGATTTTTAGATATATAAATATCAAAACCTTCACTACGCCATTCTTCTTAATTTAATTCAATCAATTCAATTTCTCTTGTGTAAATTGCTTTACTAATAATTTAAAGTAAATCTTCTAATTATTTCTTTTATGTTGTATTACATTCTTAATTGTACCATTATTTAAAATAACTCTATTAAGCAACAATAAATTAATAAAATGAAATGACAATCATCTTTAATAATTCAGATTGATCATCCTAAATTACCATAAGATTTAAATCTTATTAATAAATTTCTTTATAATTAAACTTTGCCATAACTCCATTATCATTTAAAAATTATAATATGTATAATAGATTGCTTAAATAAGTAGGATACTTATCTTTAAATTGAACACAATTTTTATTCTATAAAACAACAAGCCAAGCAAGTAAATTAGTTAATATTTTACTATCAAGAGGGAATGTTATTATATCTTCAACATCTTCTTCATCTTCTTATCGTAATCTTCTCATTTCTTCTTTTTTCATATCAAATCCATCCAAAACTGGACTTAAACCACTATGATCTTATATATTCTTTAATGCAATAAATGCAGCTTTTTAGATACTAATGAATGGACATTATAATAATTGATAATATATTGAATCATCAATCTTTTGCCATTATTCCATTTAAATACAACGTAATAGAGTTTCTGCATATTCAATAAATAGAGTATCATTTTATTCATCCATAAATTCTGGATTTGGATTTTCACAAAATTGAATAATTTATAATAAAGAATCTGTTAATTCAAAATTTAGATAATCTATAAATTCTATTGGAAATGCTTCAATAAAGTTCAATATTTTTCTAACAAATTAAAGTGCTGATACAATACTAAATGAATAGAATCTTTTTAATTGAACATTCTATTAAAATAATTATCTAAATAAATTGTTAATTTATTTTATATAAGCTGCAAAAGGTGTAATTGTTTTTCTTTCACAAATTAAATTTATAAAATCAAAAGCAACCATTTTATCATAATTAGATTCCAAATTCATTTCAAATAACAATTTTATTGTTTAATCTAATTCTGTTTCATCTTCTAATTCTAATAGATTTGATTATTATCTTAACATAAGTGTATATAAATCTAAATATGAAATCTATTTATTTTAATAATAAGTCTATAAAACATTTTAGAATTATTGCTTTAAATCCACTACATTTATAATTTATCTGATAGTTATTAACTTATTTACATTATTATCATTTAAAGCTATTTTTAGTTATTCCACAATTAATTATGCTAATAAATCTGTTTATTTTGATCTATAATTATTTTCTCTCTCCTCTATTGTTATTTATTTTATAAGGTTTTTAAGTGCAACTCCATAAACTATATCAGTGTTATTGAATAAAATTTTTATAAGATCTAAACTTTTTGGTTCTTATTATTCATAAGAATCTAAGAAAATGGGAATTATTTGATTTCCTAAAATATTTTATATGAATCTCTTTAACTTATGATCATATAACATAATAGATGAATAATTAGATGCTAAAAACAAAGCTAATAACTCCAATTAATTATTTTAATACATCTTTTTGAAATAATCTTATGGGATTTCTATTAGAGATAAGATTTTCCAAGAGATAGAACTTTAAAAGTTAAAATTTAAAAATTATAATAACTCTTAACTATTTAATTATGTAAATAGATCTTAAAAGAAATGAAGATGTTATTATAATGTTTCAGTTTTTATTAATGGTAAAGTTGTTTTGAAAAACTAAACAAACAAATCCTAATATTTTTTATTTATTAATTTATATAAGAAATTACCTTTTTGACTTTAGTTTTTTAAATATAATTGTAATAGAACATCAAATAATAATTATTATGGTTATATTTTATTCATAATATATGATAATTCTTCAAATATCTAGAGGTAATTTTTATCCATTGTTTTAATAACTTATTAACCTATTTATTAATATTTTGAAATTAATATATTTAATATTTGTTAATTAGCATTTTAAATAATGCAAGGAATAAATATTTTCTAACTTAAATTTGTAATACTAAGTGATTAGCTTAAAAATTTGGTTATAAAAGTTTCATTTTATTATAATTATTGATATTTAACATATTTCTCAATTAGATTATATTCTTATTATGAATCTTTCATTGTTAAATACTTTAAATAAAATTATGGATCAAGATTTATATCAACTAAATTATGTAAACATATCCATTTTAATTTGAAAGTTTATTATTCTTCTTTTGGAATTACTTATTTGTATTCTTAAGTAATAATCTTTTATAATATAGTTTCAATTATTAATTACTCATTTATTCTTTATAAATTATAGATATATATTTTAACTTATGAACATTTTTTTAATAATTCTTCTGAAGAAACTAATTCAATAGAATTAAATAAATTATTAATTATTTCTTATATCTTTTATCCAAAATTATCTTTCTTAAAATTCTTTGAATTTGGGATTATTTCAAAAAGTAAAGATCCTCTTTCAAAATCATTATTGTTATAGATTTCATCAAATACATGGATTAAATATTATTAAACTGTTTAATAAGCAGGACTTTCTACTTTAACTTTAAAGAGTTATGAAACTATAGTAACAAATACTTAATAATCATCTAATTGTAAAGTTTTGAATTCAGCCATAATAGATTTAATAATTTCATTTAACAATTCTTATTATTCTTCTTTAACTTTTAAAATATTGAAAAATTATAATAAACTAAATGGAACTTATTTATATGGAT